GGGATGGCACGGCAGGGGGACTTTGTGGATCGGATCCTCTCGCGGAAAATGTTTTGCATTTTTCAGCTTTCCATTCATTCGCGTGCCTGTGTGTCTGGCAGTGGAAATAAAGTCAAGTATATGCCATTTGAAGGCATATACTTGTGGCCACATTGTGGCCTGAAAGCGTGCTTGTGCTGCCCCTCGTAGCTCATGTCAGAAGGGTTATTGCAATGAAATACCATCACATTTATGTTCAGCGGGTTGGATTACCCCTGGGGACTAATTTCTAGCCAAATCTGACGTTTCGACCTAACTTGGAAAATGTGGGCCATTCTATGGACAATTCTGCTGGCGTGCTTGTGCTGCCTCTCGTAGCTCATGAAGGGTTATTGCAATGAAATACCATGACATTTATGTTCAGCGGATTGGACTTGGAAAATGTGGGCCATTCTATGGACAATTAGCAGCACGCTGGGGTCCACCCACCATGGATGGTCTTGGGATGGAATTTTCTACGGGTAATCAGGAAAATGATGCAGGCGGCACGAACAAGTGAGCCAGGTATTGTTCTGCGAAATGACATGACTGAAGGGTTATTTCAGTGCAAAGACCAGTCATCACCAGTATGCTAGTCGGAGTATTGGCTATCATCCAGGCGTGACCATCTCTACCCCATTTTTCGAAGTTTTGAGTCAGAACCTCGGATTTCCTCAAGGTGGCGTTTCTAGGGGTTGTTTGACCCCCTGAACACGAATATGATATCTATTTCGCACGGAGAGAGCTGTGAGTCGCGCTACAGGTGCAAATTCACTGCGCCAGCCCACCCAAGAAGAAAAACAGTGAAGGAAAACCTCCATAACTCCGCTCAGAGAATCGTTCCGCAAATTTTGAAGGTAGTTTCGAGTTCACTGTGTCAAGACGAGTACAATGATATGCACTCACTGCAAATGGCCAGGTTGTCCTGGTGGCCTTTCCTGGATGACACCTTACAAACCAGCACAGTTGTGTGGAGAACCTTGTTTCCGGAAATGTTCACGTCTCGTTGCGTTGATACAGATGCAAAACTGTTGCCGCAATGAGGATCCGAACCGAGTCCCGCATTGTCGTGCCATCCAGAATCCATCGTGCTATGCTATCCGCTACGCCATCCGATCCGCCAGCAATGGTCATGAAGGGAGCGCTGACAAAAACATCACTCTTGCGTCGGTGCATGCCAAGTGTGTTACCACATGATACTTACATTTTGACTTTAATCGAATCTATTTTGAGGCCTAATTAGTGACCACCTCATAAACTATGCATGCTCGAAGTTACAAGCAGAACGGAGCCCATTAACATTGTTAAAACCGCCCATTCCTGTCAAATTCTTTTCACTCAGTTTTTGACCTACCCAGAAACGCATAGCAAAAATGAAACCCATTTTTGTGATCCTTGTATGGACCCCTACAACAAGCAACAAACCATTTCCAAAAAGCGCGCCACGACCTGAAACACCTCCCTTGTTAGCGCTTCAAACGTTCCGAGGGTAACAGTGTCGACATGAGAGTGAAAGCTTAAGCTGTAATCACCACGCCTTTTCCACGAAGTCGGTTATTTTTGAATCATATTCCTTCTCATTCAATGCACCTAAGCTTTACCTGCTTGCTGGAAATTGAGAACTGGGTGAAAGTTTTCTGATTCTATTATTGTGGGAAAGTAATGGACATGCAAACCAATGACCCTCTATCCTTTGATACTTTTATCATAGTGGCCGTAGTTTAGTCGTGAAAACTGTAAAGAAGTAAAACAAGAGCGACTCTCCATAGTCCTTTCAGTCATCATTTCGCTTCCTGTCACCCACCATCAGTGTTCCTGTCCTACTTCCTCCATCATTTGTTGCGTTCTTTTCAAATGCTGTTGTAGAGCACGTTATGGAGTTTGTGACGCTCCTCGTCAATGCTTCTTTTCAGCTCTTATCAGTTTTATCACTTACTTTCGCCCGCTAATAATGTCCCCGTCCAACACTTATACCATCTCCTTGAACCGCTTTTCCAACTGCACAGAGCTTGGTAAACTTGCACTTCTCGTTCACCTCATCTCACCCTCTCCATCACTTATCTCTCTACTAATTCTTACTAACTCTCTACGGCCTTTTCAGAACAATTTGAGTTTCCGGTCAAACACACACAATCACTCACTCCAGCAGACAAACGTAGTGGATTGTATTTATATAGAAGGATATAAGGTGAGCTGAGAAGACGTCAGCAGTTTTCTCATATACATACATGCCATATGTGAAGAAATGCAAAAATTAAAGCTTTATTCATGATGCCACTCTGTAGCGAATTCATTACGACTCCTGCCATCTTGAAAAAAATCACAGATGCTCTCAAATTTTTTCTAAGATCAACATTAGCTTATTCACAAGCATTACTTCCATTTTACTAGGAAATGGCACGTCATTGCCTAACTACATTGTTTCCTAGTTCAATCGTGTCTATCGTTTTCGCGTGGTCCGTCCCATTGGGAGAAACCTGACTCTGCAAGTAATGCTAATATAACTCGAAAAATGTTGAATCGTTAAGCCTTACCATGACTTTCTTTTTGATGAGGATAGGAGCAAATACTTCAAGAACGAAGGATCCTATGGGAGCTGTTATTAGCACCGCAACAATGCAGCTGATTACCACCTGAAAGCTCAAAAGAATGAGTGATTCTCTTGTCGTCAGGGTACGCCATCGTTGTGATAATAACAACAGAGGGGTCGTATTTGACCGCGAGCGGGAGGGGAGGGGTCGTAAGCTCAGGCCCCTTTCTGAAGTGGAGATTGCAGCGATACTCAGAAGTCTTCAGCTCCATGGTGAAAGACTTATTCATGTGAAGAACACCTAAAGGACACTTGAAGACAGAAACAACCTGCAAGCTTAGAGGGGTGCGAGCGATGACAGGAAGTACGATGGCCGCCCACAACGACGTCATGAATTAATAAACAGATGAAAGTACACTTCCGGACCTTTCTGATCGCAGGAGCACATCTGCTTGCACGGAGGAAGCCCTATCCAGAAATTACACCTCCCTTATACCTTTTCGTGGGGCTCCTATGCACTCGCATTATAGAGGTGATGAGAATATTCAGCGTCAATGAATCTCTTCTTGAATAACCGGCGAAAATAGTTGCTCTACCGAAGCCATGTCACAAGTCTTCCAAACGGAAATTGGACAGTGGAATTGCGTAGCAAGGATAAGTGGTTTTCCTGTCATTCGACGAGTATGTTTGCGATCCATAGTCACTACGGGGAATTGTTTTTCGAAGCAGTAAAAAAGACTTATGGGATGAATTTCAATGTTTTGTTAGAAAGTATGGAACCTTTTCATTCGACACTGTTATAGTTATGGTTTATTATGTCTTCGTTTTGTCGTTTCTTTGCGTAGATCTTCCATTTTTTTGGCGATTGTTGGTCCGCTGCTAATCCGGTCCGACGCAACCAGATTGGCAGCGAAAACGGAGGAAGAGGGGTTATCACAACGCCATGGCGTGTCCTGGTTCTCGTTCTTCTCGAGATAATTTGATCACATCCAGAGTTGTGTGGGAAGTTGCTTGAAAAAAATCATGTTCTGCGAAAGCCAATTGCCCTTTTGACCGTTCTAATTTGTACAATAAATAGCTAGGGGTCTCTCTATTTTAGGAGTTTGTTCTCTCCAACAGCCCCAGTGGTTTCCCTCATCTTAGCTAGGACAGTGTGACTTCGCCAGCATGTATCGGCTAGTTAATCATCGAACGCATGTCGCACTATATTAGTCAACCAACGTGACAGGCACCAAAATATTTATTCGTTAAGAGGAGAAATGTAATGACTCTTTTCACTTCCTCTGGGATCTCTGCAACACAACTTTCGAAGCCTTACACGTTACACTAGATATTGAGTTGTCCCAAAACTTCGTGACCGTTTCGGATTTTTTTTCGAGTCAAGTTTATTCCAGTGAGAAGCAATTTTGATCAAGAATATGAATAGTGGTTGCCTTGCTTCCAGAAGCTTTTTGATTCCGTGCCGAGAAAGGCAGCCGGGTCATTTCTGAGGTAGTTCAAAATTCGTTTAGTGGTTTCAAAAATCGAGAAAAAAAGAGAGTGAGTATTCCCTCTGATTATTGTTTCTTTCATAACAAATCAAAACATACGAATGATGCTTCTTCTTTGAATTGAGGGTACTTCTCAGCCAGTGTGAAAAGATTTGGTCCAAGTGCAGCCTGAACCAGAGAACTTGTTCATAATAGTGCTGGAGAACAGTTCTGTCAAATTAGCTTACCTGGACTGTTCCTTTCGGAAAAAGTGACCATACAACTATGAATTGTTCACCAAGATTCAGAGGAGAACAAGCTACGATAGCGAAACCGCTGGCTAGTCGAGCTAGTGCGCCAGCAACCACAAGCACTGATCCCACGTACAGAGCTTTTACAGAAATCTGAACAGAGTTTCACGTGAAGAAAGCAGTAAGAGACCAACTGTGATCGCAGGTGATCTCTAAATGTATTCTGCGTAAATAACTACGTAAATAGCAACATGACCTATCTTTCTCTGGAACGATTTTCAATAAGGGAATCCACATCTGTAGTAGAGTACCACTCCCGCCCAGAAATGCATGCGTGACGCACGAGTGCCCTCTCTCGACTACGTCAAAGCTGCCGCCCAACCAGTCACATGCCTAGCCGTAGCTAATGCTCAATTTGTCCGCTCCATCTCCCTTCTGGTTGTTTTTCTGACTGGGTGTTTGCTGGAGGGTAAAGGCAATACTGCATCTTGAGGCGGAGTCGAGAGACGGCACCCAGGTATCACTACCCTCCAGCCACGTTCTCGTGCATTTTTGAGAGAAGAAAGAAAGAGCTGCTCTTGCAGCTATGAACTCATTCTCTTCGCGCACTGCAAGGACCGTCCTCGGAGGCAGAGTACGCATCCAAGGGCAGGATGGGCTGGCGAGAATTTGTCAGATGGCGTGGTTGAAAATCAGAAGTTTGCGTGTCTGATTGCGAAGAAAAAGCAGCGAAAATGTCGGAAACACTTTGGGTAGAGTCCTCTCCTTCCCAAGAAAGAAACCGATGTGGTTTTGGGCAAGGACCACGCAATAGCAGCAAGAGAACGTTCATATGAGCAATTCAATCACTAGGACATCCATCAAAGCAAGCGGAGTCATTTGAGCGATCTCGCGCTTCGACACCTTTGACTCAGTGAGTTGAAAAAAAATTACTCAAGTACAGCTCCCTCATTATGCATGACGCCTATGATAAATAGTCAACAGCTTCAACTAGTCATTGCTCACTTTTTGACTTCTTTCTTAAACAACGCTTCAACACAAGAAAGCGAGTGGCGTACCTTTTTGAAGTCTAGGAATGTAGCCACTAGGGAAAACAGAAGAGGAGATGCCACATAAAACCACGTCTTGGCGAAAAAGTTCGCAACGGGAGCAAGCTGAAACAAATGACTGAGAAAATGAGATTGCTTCTATGCTTTGGGAAAACTTTTCTAGGGTGAGCCGCTGGGCGAACACGCCAAGTAGCCAGCTCGAACTAAGATGGGCCCGAGCGCTCGTACGTAGAAAAAAAGACCAGCATAATTGTAAGCCATGTTCGGAAAGGTGAGCAAACCAGACCGCTCAGCAGTAGCATGTCGCAACACCACTACTGTTCTCGAACCCGACTACTGTATCCGATGCCTTTCCTAACTTGCTTCAGAAGAACTCAAGTTGGGTGTTCACATTTATTTATCACATTCTCATGGTTGTGTGCAGTAGGGAAAACATGGAACAAGTCAAAGATGCGCTCTTTTTGGTAGTTTCAGCAAATAATTTAGACAGTTTATTTTCTCAGGTCATACAAGCGAAGGCTCTTGAAGAGTCGAAATTGGCTGACCAAGTCTGATCAGCATAGACAGGAATATCGAGAAATGGCACACTGCTATGTACAACGGGCATTGGTTCCATTTATAACGTTTGTGAATCTCTGGAAAGAACAGAGACATAGGGAGCAGGGCCAAGTATCACGATGCGAAAAATTGGAGGGTTGGTATGAATCATCTTGAATTAGCAGTTGCACCCTTCCACCACCTCTTCATAGCAGCGCAATGCACGGCGCACACGTAGACCAAATCTATCGATGATATCCTATGCTTTGACTCAGTTCAACGAGTATTGGTGTTTTGGAATCATATGGAAGTTCCCGAATGAGTACTCTTGCATTGGCACAGGAAGAGTCGAGTTTTTGAGTGGCTCAGAATTCCGCCTAAGATCAAAACATCTGTAATATCTTCTATGCAGCGGATGTTCAGAAAAATTGTGAAGCATATTAAAAAGGGGAAATAATGCGCGTTCCGATGACTTTTACAGTTTGGCAAAGGATTATGTTTGAAAGAAGTTATTCTCGTCCAAACATAAAAACCCTCCCGCAATTCACCACTAATCCGTCCATAAACCGTCCAGACTATTTTACGAAAGGGGGAAGGTTCAGATTGCGAGTAGGTAGAAAAAGCAACAGTAGAGACATGGACATGTTGCCTCCCGTTTCTCGAAACACCACAATCTGAAAAGGTTGTTACTTCCCGATCAGCTCCAACAACTGCGCTCCAGCGATGTAGCGATGTTTGCATTGCAAGCGGTCGCAACGTGGCAGCGAGCGCTTCTCAGCATTCGATATCCTACCGCCTCTGATTGTAGAAGTGTTAAATGCGGAAGTAGATGAAGTCTTGGCTTCGCTCTTATACTGTATTCAATTTTTTCCTTCCTGTAGCTCACTCCTCAGATCTTTTTTGGCTGTCGCAGTGCTGCTTTGCGCATTTTCATAAGGATTTCCTCTCTTGCATTGTACATTGATGCATGTCATGTTTAGTGTGATACAACGTCATATGTGTGTGTTCCCTATTTGCTTTACTCTCAGTACTCTTTGTTATATTGATTGATCAACTTAAAACTTCATAAAAACATGTTGTCCGTCGTCAATTCATCGAATATTACATACTACTTTTCTGTATTACTAATCGGAGTGAACTATGTGTGAGTGCACTCACAGCCGGAGTTTGTCAGTTCCAGCTCGGATTAGAAGACCACCCATTTTCATAGTCTCGAATGATCTTCCAAGGTTTCAGCAGGAATGTCAGTCCCGCAACTTAGCCTGAGCCTGCGACTGGCCAGCTCTCTGTTCCTGGCAATCTCGATAGCCGGGATCCATGTTCTCCAGGGACCGTCTGAGTGGAGGCCGGACTTTGATAATTTGTGCACTGGGGAAACCCGATAGCCGATATCAAAAGATGGGTGGAACCCTACCAACACCAACCTGGTCGCATGGTCACCAACCTGAAAAAAAATCTGAACTTTGGTCACTTTTTTCCGGTACCAGTTATATAGAGGTCCAGAAAATTTCAAAGACCTTTGGGAAGACAACTCTTCCATAATCAACCTATGACACTGAATTCGCCATAGGTCACAACCTATTCCACGCTCTAGCCTACTTCTCTGGGGAAGGGCTGCGTTTCATACTTTGCGCCAGAGCGTAGCGCTAGGCGTAAGCGCCCGGCGTGAGCAGTAGCCGTAAGCTATGCGCTTTCCAGCGTACTGCCAGCAGGCCCAGTGCGAAGAGGAGGATGCATATACGATCCTAGCGTTCACCAGCGCGTCACAGCGGCACACGCTTAGCCGTACGGCTAGCGCCACGCTAGCGTACCGCGTAGCTGCCACGCTAGCGCCGCCCCGCGGCCCCCCCCAGACGCCCAGCGTTTCTCAAGCGTGTTCACCAGCGTTTTGTGGTACGACTTGATGCAGCGGCGCGGCAGACAGGGACAGTTAATGAGACTATGGGAGAGCTGGAGGGTACAAAGCACATCGATTGCGCGTATCTCACTCGCCCTTAGTCTCTACAATGCACATCGCTTCTGCGTCTTCGACGGGCCCATAGTCTCTACAATGCACATCGCTTCTGCGTCTTCGACGGCCCCATAGTCTCTACAATGCACATCGCTTCTGCGTCTTCGACGGCCCCATAGTCTCTACAATACACGTCGATTCCGCGTCTCTGCCGGCCACATGGTCTCTACTCCCTGCCGCTGCAAGCGCTAGCAAAAACGCTGCTGGTGCCGCTGGGAAAACGCTGGAGAAACGCTGGTGAAGCTAGATCGATAGCTATGCTTCCCATGCCCTCGCTACGCCAGCGTGCGCTAGCGTGCCGCTGGCGTACGCTTAGACGTGAAAACGCGTACGCGCCCACCGTAGCCTACGCCAGGGTCTGGCCGCTGGTGAAAGCCTGCGCTTGAAGCTAGATCGATATGCATCCTCTCTTCGGCACTGCCGCTGGCGTACGCTGGAAGCGCTACGCTACGCTGCGCTACGCTACGCTACGCTGCCGCAAAGTATAAACGCAGCCCTAATAAATCTTACGCCGCATCGAAAACAACTCAGAACCAACATCCAGCCTTTTTTCAGTTAGAATTCTATTCAGTTCTGCAGAAACGCGTTAGCTCATTTTTTTTAATTGGCGCTAAGAAAGATAATAGTATTCTACACAGAATAAGTAAGTTAACAGAAGAACAATTCTTGAAGAACACTTCTTCAAATAGTATCCAAGACTGTGTTCGACCTGCACTCTGTTTATTTCGGATTTATGGGGTAACACAGCAGCATTAGAGAGATCACTTTAATAATTGGAACTTCTAGTCAACGAGTACTATCAATAGAACCAATCAATGGGGACCTATGCACGCAACCTCACTACAAGAGCAAGAATGAAGAAGAAGCGAGAAAGAAGTAATTAGGACGCAAGAAGAAGAGAAGATTGATTGATGCAGGTGATGACGATGAATGCATAATGATAATGATAATGGATGATGATGATTTTGATTGATGGTGGTGATGATGATGATGATGATATGGTGATGATGATGATGATGAAAGTCATTAGTTCAAACTTGCGCTGCCAGTAATTTTTTTAGAAATCCCCGGCGAATCTTTTTCTGCAATTTAGTGTCCTGCTATAATAATCATTTCAAAACATTCGAGGCGAAGGCCATTTCGCCCAGAGCCTCACGATTGCCTCGTTGTTTCTGGCTTAAATTTTTACAAGTCTTTCTTGCTATCTGACTTGTGTAGTTTGTGCAAAATGTATCGCTAGCAGAATATAATCGGTCGCAAAAGAGACACGAAAAAAATTATAGCGGCGTGTTTTCGCAATAGTGTACGAACGACCGAAAACAGGGTTTTCCGCGTGTACTCCCGGGAGTACACGCCGCCTCGAACGTGTTAAGCGCTGGCGCCCTTCGTTGTCAATAGGCGCGTTTGGCGCCACCGTTTTTTCCACCGAAAATTGTGTATAATTCACATACTGGAGCTATTTATCACATAGATTACGAACATGAAACTCATTCTCGGTACCAGCGTTAACACAGGCACTCTGCGGTTTCCTAAGGTTGAGCCTGGGAAGAAGGGAAGCACTCTTCCCCCAGGCTCAGCCTTAGTAGAGCGCTAGATTGAGTCTTTCTCCAAAAGTGCATGTCAAGTCCGTGACTATAACATGAAGCAACCTAAGTGTGTTTATCAATTTTGGGGAAAAAGTAGTGGCGCCAAGTTGGCGCCAGTTGACGTTAAACGACGCTAGCGGCAAAATGAATGTCACGTTCGTGATCACATTCTGAGCTGAAAACTCCGCAGGGCGGAAGTTACGGCGAAAAGTTTTTTTGAGTTTTTGGAGCCGTAATATGTAGTGGTCGAAAACACATAGAATATTCACATGAGTATGGATTCGGTTGATGGTGGAGAGGACGTTAACTACTTACGTGCCACTGTCAAAGTGGTCTGGTTTACTTACCTCCGAGTCGGGTATGTCGGTCGGATGCTCATGCAGCAATAAATACGATATCGATTTTGTAGGATTAAGGCACGTTTCATCGTCCCATATTCCTGAACACAGTTCCGCTTTCCTTTCCTTCTCCTACTCTTGTTCGCAGTCGAGCTCCGGGCTTCGACCTGGCGGCCGTGTCTAATATGGCAGCAACAAGAAACGAGACGATTATATCCAGGTGTCTTTCATACGTGCCTTTTTCGGATTATCGGTACGCCAACGTATCGGAGCAACAAAACAAAGCAGCAAACTAGCAACAACACCAGGGAAACCGCGATTAATTGCACCCATCCCTGAAATATGATAATCCCCGCTTGCGAAATTTTCTAGTTTTCACCTTTGAAATCACCAAACACACCTATTATGATTCCTGTGCTGAGAAAAATAATAAGAAGTATTCTAAGAGTATGAACATTCTTCTGCGTAGGATGTGGAAAATACCAGAGTAAACAACCTGAAATTGAAAGGAAAATTGGAGTTTGTTCGTATCGAAGCACCACAAGAACGATCAATCAGTAGAGAACCATACTCACAGAAGTCCTTAGGTGTAAAGAAAGGTTCAGTACGGCATTCTGTCGCTAAACTCACACATTATTCGGCGCACTTTACCTCAAACAAATAGTACTGGCGGATATGTTACAGTGCTGAACATCCTTCCATGTATCTGAGCTTGATTTGATGAATTCGGTGCAGGTGTTTCCATTTTTGTTGTGATCAATTAAACCCTATTTGTTTCACAGACTGGTCCGCAAACATCAAAAGTGTAGACTTCGTTGTGAACAAAGAAT